GTGCAATTTCATGGTACCCAGAGTTGCTAAATGAGATGAATTTAATTTAATGGCTTTGAACATGAAAATTGCTCACTTTGTTTACTCCGATATGTATTCTATTTTTCTGTTTAAAAATTTTAATTAAACATCTTGATTCAGTATTATAAAATTTGTATGTAGTGTACGCTATGGTGTCTTTGTACTTTCCAAGAAATTATACAGGTTTCAGTGTTGGCTTTCAATTATTACCTTAGCTAGTGCCTTGTAGCCGCAAAACTACATAGTATCTATTGGGGGAGATGCACATTTAAAAAAAAACAGTAATAAAACTATTCTTCAAATTATTTCCGATTGCCCTCACCTAGTTTAGGCCTCGGCAAACAAACGCGTCCTTGCAATCCTACTACCGGAGTCATTCTCTTTAAGGCGACGGGGCCCATGTGGAATCAGAGAACTAGCCTAACATAAAATGCCAAGGATGGGAGCCTTAAGAGTTTTGCGAAGGATCGCGTGTGCTGCGTAACCCGTCAATTGAGGTGTTTTTTATTTAGTTCATCCCCCCCCCTAGAATTGGCATTAAACAGTGTGACCTATTTCTGGAAAAGTATGGAAAATGCGAGGAAACAGAAATGCAGAAATTGTACCTGGAAAGGGCTAGTCACGTAAAAAAAAATGTGCATTCGACTCTAGCGGAATGACTGAAGTATTATGTGACGCGGCGAATAGTCTCGAGATCAAATCTATGGTTTAAATGCCATGCCATGCCATGCCCAGTACAATCATCTCTTTGTAAACAGAACACCAGCAATAATTACCTGTTGGTATGGTAATGAAAAAATGATTATTTTGGATAATTCTTCACCGATTGGTTTGTATTGTCTGAACTTGCTGAAATTCTATGTGTGGAATAGCTTGTGTAATCTGTAGTAATGAAAGATGTATATTATTATCATAAAACAGTTGGCAAAGACGTCTTTCATTACCACATTTGTATTCTATGCACAGTGCAGAAATACAAACTATTACAGATTATGTACAATGATTATCGTAGATATCAAGTTCAAAATTAGTTTAGTTCAAATCCAGTGTTACAAACCAAAATATTTCAAAATATTATTTTTACTAGATACCACTCCTAGGTTAATGACAAGATTTGGTGATAACCGGCCATCTTTTTGACTTATGCTACCACCAATCATATTAAATTCTCTTAATTTTAAACATTTAAATTAATATTGTTACTTATAGAAAAATGTTCATGCATCTAATGGCCTTAGAAAATACTTAATTTAAATAAAAAAGTTTTGCAGAACTTTTTTTTCAAATATTTAATTAGTGTTACATTGAAGTAATCATAAAAAAAAAAGTTTTAAATTGTGAATAATTATTTAAAAATTTGAGGAAGGTAATCAGAAATTTAAACTGAATTAAACTCCAAAAACATTCTTTGTGATGTGGAAGAGACAATGAGGATTGAGAATTGGAAAAGAGGCGAAAAATGCTTATTTTAGGCCATGATCATTGTTCAATATATTGCGCTTCATTTTAGCTCAGCATTTGCAGCATCTATGTCATACTGATTGAGGCATCAGTGGGCACTATGTTAAAATATGGTATTATTCCATATTTGAATTAGTCACTGATTTCTCTACACAGATCAAATGTTTCAAATTAGGTACAAATGTTACATTAGACTGACAATGAAATATAATCTCAATATTCTTATATTCCCTGAGATCTAGAGTTAATAACAAATCAAGTGAGACTTTTTACAGCCTTGTATGCATTGTTTCTCTAATAATTTTTTTCCCATTACAGGAATTATTTACGTGAATGTTTTAATGGATGAAATTACTACAATATTGCAGCTTGTAACAATTAACCTTCCATGTTATGAAAAATTAATTTTGCATTCTAAAAGTATTTTATATCAATTGCCATTTAAATTGAACGAACATTTTTAGAATTAATATTCAAATAAAAATATTATTTTCCAATTTTATTACCCATTTTCACATCTTGACTTTTTAAAATTTTGGCAATTGTAAAAGCAAAATTAAACTCTTTGCCAGAAACAGTGTCGGCTCGTGGTCATTGCCATTAGGGTGTGCACCGTCTCTTCTCTTCCCCTTCTTTCCCCCTCATACACGTACACATCCGTATACAAAGGCATACATTACATGCCTACATATATATTCATTAACATAATGACAATCAAACAGAGCATCTTATGAAGTCTGATAGCATGCTAGACGGTTTCATCAGCAGTGAGGGTTGCCCGCATTTCTTTTCACACCACGTTCGACTTTGCTCGGCAAGGACCCCTTCAAAATATTTACTTCGTGAGTCCGATTACCGCGTATCTACTCAGTATGCTCCAGATGGATTGCTCTTGATGGGGGTTTCTAGAATCGTGTACAAAAACGTTGATTCAAAACCGCTTTACTCGCACTTGTGATTGGAATTGAATTGATGCCTTATTTTACGTGGCGAGACTTACGCCATGAGGACTGCTCTTCCATCTGACCACGCAAATTCCGCTATGCTATAGAGAATTTTCCATAAACTCGCTGTACTAATTTTAGGCTAAAAGTGCAAGTTACCGAATACTGGTAACAATCTAGATAATTTGCCGTCTACCCTGCGTGACGAAACAGTCAATTCAACGCTGCTTCTTTTCAGCAATTTTTTTTTTTTACGCTTGACGAAAAAACGAACCCTCTACCTTTGGTTTTTCAAACCACATTAGAAAAGTAGCCAACTACATTTTTTTTTACAAAATGCATTTGGGTTTTCATTAATTCGAAATGGATTTGTAATTGTAACTCGCTTCAAAATATAAGAGAATGTGCTTATAATATTAAATTAACACAATTATTATGAATACAACACTGCAGCAATACATTCGCGTTTCGCGCGCTAGCGAAGTGTTTTATTCGAAGGGATGTGCGAGATCTCTCCACTGAAAAGAGCACTCAATTCCTTCGTGCACTGTCACATACTTCTACAAACTTGTGCCAGCTGAATGTTGTATCTTCAAGACATGTCAAGGCATTCGATCACACACTCGGCTGAATGTTTTTTCCCCTCTATAAAGCCACTGTTGTTCCCTCTTTCCCCTCCAGCCCCACAGAAGCTAACTAGTGCGCCGGTTGGCTTTCACGGAGGGCACTAGCGGCGGACTGTCAATCGCTGCTTCCGAATGGCGCGTGCTTTGAAATTCCATGTTTCGGAAACGCATTGAAGACTCGTATTCCCCTCTTGTTTAAAGATGTTTAAGAGAAAATGCACCGGATTAATTTGGGTGTCCACAGGCGAACGAGCGAATAGGCACGAGCCGCCACTGGCAAGAAACCAAATTTAGTGCCCATCTTTCAAAGTGTGACCTTTACTCTTACCCTATTTTGCCTCTCAGAAAGACTATTATAGTTTTACGTTGTGAATAGTGGATGTCTTCTTAGAGACTAGATATAAATATGTTACAGTTCACTTATATTTTTACTTTGCAGTTATGATTGTATAATAATAATAATAATAATAATAATAATAATAATAATAATCATAATAATAATAATAATAATAATAATAATTGGGTATCTCTAGTGAGGAAAGTATTGGCCAGTGTCTCTATTGCTTCAGGGTCGCCATTGTATACCATTAAAATGAGTTTCTTGATGAAATTTGAGTTTGTCCTTTGTATAAAACTATGGTCAAAACGAACTTATTAATATATATTGCTAAAATTAAAAGTAGCTTTTTTGTTCTAATGTGACCTTATAATTAAAAGATTTATCATATTTGTTTATTTTACCTGGGATTTGAATCTTAAATACCTAAGTAGGTTAGTGTTCATAGACTTGATATTTAAAATAGTGAACAACTGCTTTCAGGTCAAAAATGTATATACTCTCAGAAATTCTCTTTAAATTACTCTTGTTCACAAAACTTCATTATAATTGGCCATATTCTAATTATCAACTTGTATTGTGCCTATAAATGTGGTTGCAAGCTTAAAACTGCCCAAGTTTCTAAAATTATTTTTGAATGTTACATTCATAGAATATTTGTACAGGTTTTACACAGTTTCGTTATTTTGTCTATTCAGGTAATCACCTAACTGCAAATGCGCTTCTGTGCTTAGTGCCTCCTAAGCTTCTTTGGAGTCTAACTTTTTTGAAGCAAGCAAGGTCTGTGAGCTATTCATGAGTTTTACTTTCCTTTAGATGTTTGCCTTAAAGGGTTTGAACGTATTTAGAACTATGAATTTCTGTTGCAGAAGTCTATAGTTATTTAATTATGAGCACCCAGCTTCTAATCTGTAGTTTTAACCCTTTTCTGTGAAGATGCAGAGTGTAAATGTTTGCTTGTATAAGATTAAAACCTATCAACTGTGCATCAAGAGTGTTAAGAAAACTTACTTTTCTACGCATCCACCTGCTCCAAATTAATATTATTTATGAACTTTGACATTTGCTAAGCACATTATATTTTTCACCACATTCCCTGAATACAGTTGTAAACTTATTAATTTTCTACTAAAATTGGATGGGTATTAGATGCAAGAAATCAACGACACATTATTTCTTCATTGACAGGAATGTAATGAAGAAATTATGCAAGTGTTGCAAATCTTAAAATGCAGAACATTTCTTTGTAATTGTGATTTTGTGTATTATTCGTAGTAAACATTGTACATGTTCCTAAGAGTTAAATTTTAATATGAGGTATGGACATCTATCTTTCTGACAAGTCCATTTAATTATTTTCAATATTGAATTAATATAATACTAGTTGCTATGGAATGTGTTTGTAAAAATATTAATTATAGTTTTGTTTTATTGTCTGAACTGTGTGTGAGCATGACTTGTTTTAGCATGTTGTAGTATGTTAAGCATTTTGTAGGAAGTGTGATTTTTGTTTTTTAATCTTCTCTCTTTTGCTGTAAAGGAATGATGGACACTAACATGATAGTCACTTCCTGACGTTTTTCATTATAATGTATATTCATAATGTTTCAGAAACCAAACACCTTCACCATGAGTGACTACGAAGATGCCATGGACATAATGGATGATCCAGTGAATTCAGATGTGTCTGGAGTGCGTCATAGGCGAGGGTGGGACCCTGATCGTGTGTCATTAAGCTCTGAAGTTCCTGGTCTGAATGAAGTGAAAGATCTCCTTGAAGATGATGTGAGTGTTCTCTCAGAGGGTGATGATGGTGTGGGATGCCCTTTACCCAGCACCCCAGAAGATGAAAATCTTCTAAATTGTGAGGTGAGCTAAATTTTTTCTTTAGTTCCTTCCTTTAGTTAGAAGTTTTCAAGTTCCTCATAAAACATTAAATATTTTAGTTTAGTAGAAATGATTTGATAAGGTAGTATGGAAAAATTGATTGAAATGTGAAGATTGAGAGGATTAGATAGTAATGGACTGAGAGGATTAGTTCTAAAAAAAATTAAAAGAATCACTGAAACCACTCTTAGTTAAAGGAAAAAGATGGTTCACTTAAAAGGAATAGGAAATATTTTATTCCTCTCCTTTCTCAATTTTTCTGTTTACTTGCTCCATTTCTCCCATTTACAAGTATTTCTCTCAAAACTGTGATATACTGCACATGGCAATGTCACTTCAAAAATTATATTGTTAATTAGCCCCCCAAAAATACTCCTCATATATTTAATCTGCTTGTCAGAAGCTCCTTGCATTTATTCTGTGTAATGAAAGGTTTTTCTGACAACAAATAATAAATGAGGACTGTGACTATCTAAATGTAGTTCTTCTAATCCATTTAGTATTATTCTAAATACACAACCGCTACGTATTTTACTTCAGTGTCTATGATATTTGTTCTTTTATAATCAAAAATCATTTATTGTGGTAACATACTTTGAAAACACTTAATAAAGTAAATACTCTTCTCAATTCTCAAGCATAAATTTTATAGTATTTAAATATACACTTATTGACAAAAAACAAATTGAGGCAATATAAAAAATATAATATTCAAATATCCATTTCATTAAAATAGTTTCGTTTAACAGAGAAGCAACCCTTATCTTTCTTTATTTCATTCTCAAAGAAAATTTATAGAAAATAATAATATTTTTAGATTTTTCATTTTCTATTTCCAGATGACTGAAGTCCTCAAAGCTGGAGTGCTGTCTGATGAAATTGATCTAGGAGCGCTAGCTCATAATGCTGCTGAGCAAGCTGAGGAATTTGTACGAAAAGTTTGGGAAGCTTCATGGAAAGTGTGTCATTTTCGTAATTTGCCTCAATGGTTGCAAGATAATGATTTCCTGCATGCTGGACATAGACCACCACTTCCCAGTTTCTATGCGTGCTTTAAAAGTATTTTCAGGATTCACACTGAAACAGGAAATATATGGACACATTTGTTGGGTAAATATATTATGTAAATTACATAAATTAAAAATCATTAAGTTTGGCAAAATAAAAATTCATACCTTCATCAATTTATTTAGTGGCTGCACTTTTATCTTCTCCCAGAATTAAATCCTTTTTTCTCTTCTCTAAGTGTAATTGAAGAGCTTATTTCCAATATGTACATCTCCTTTTCTGTTTGTTTTCTAATTTTACTTACGAATATATTATTACAATGCTCCTCCATCATTCTGCCAAATATTGTGTTCAAAAACAGTTTCTCCAATGTTAAATGGTATCTAAAATCTGTTGAATCTAATTTTGAACTACAAGTCTAAATTAGAATACTTACCTTTTTTGGAAATAATATATTTCTTGTAGAGATGTCACTGTGGAATTACTTCTTAGTCAGTTTGCATCTTGCAGCTTCTTTCATTTTTAATTCTTTCCTATTTTGCTGTTTCTGTTTCTTTCCAATTTCCTTACCCTATCATCTTTTCATTCACTTTTACCCTCTCTTCTTTTCTTCACTTTTTATTCTTTATTCAGTTTTTACTCTAAAGTTTTCTATTATTTTTTTGCCTCTGACAAATTTTTGCTACGTTTGGCCGATTATCTACAATGCTTCCTTAATAGACTTAATTCTCTGCCCCCTTATATTATTACGTATATGTATTATGTTACTGATTGTTGCAGTTTTAATAAAATGATAGGTCTAGTTAATGAAGTTCTACTTAATAATTAAAAATGCAGTTTTCCTTTTACAATTAAACCCTTTTTATTGGGGAATTATCTATTCCAAAATATTTTTAAAACTGTTCTAATTAAATGTTATATGCTTTTATGTGGCAGGTTGTGTTGCGTTTATTGGTGTAGCTACATATTTTCTAACTCGCCCTTCAGTAGAAATTCAATTTCAAGAAAAATTAGTCTTTACTGCATTCTTTGCTGGGGTAATTGTGTGTTTTGGCATGTCATCAGCATTTCATACAGTGCATTGTCACTCTGAATGTGTTGGCAAGTTATTCAGCAAGTAAGTGTCCTAATATTTATAATGGAATTTCCTTACACACATGTGGACTAATTCCACACATGTGGACTAATTCATTTTCTTCTTCTAGGCTAGATTACTGCGGTATTGCTATGCTGATCATGGGCTCATTTGTACCTTGGCTCTATTATGGCTTTTATTGCCAGTTTCAACCTAAGCTTATATATTTAAGTGTTGTAATATGTCTGGGTATAGCATCCATAGTTGTTTCCTTATGGGACAGGTTCAGTGAACCAAAGTATCGATCACTGAGAGCTGGTGAGTAGCTTCTACATCAAAGACCATTGCTTTACCTAAGAGATCTTAGTGTTCATTTTTGTAAAACTGAACAATATTTTTCAGGTGTCTTCATGGGATTTGGTTTAAGTGGTGTTATTCCAGCAGTTCATTATGCAATATCTGAAGGATGGTTCAATGCTCTTTCACAGGCATCTTTGGGCTGGCTCATTTTGATGGGTGTATTATACATCATGGGTGCTATGTTTTATGCTTTAAGGGTACCTGAAAGATTCTTTCCTGGGAAGTGTGATATCTGGGTAAGTATTCATAGTTGTATTTTCATTTATTGAACAGAAATATCAGTTTCACATTAACATATTCAACAATCATATCTAACTTACCTTCACAGTTGTCTTGCACTTCATCTTCCTTGTAATCAATCCTTGTATTCCACCTAATTTCTGGTATGTCCCCTACTTCCTCGTATTCCGTCTCCTTCCCCAGGCCTGTCAATGATATTTTCTAATGTAGGATTCTTTCCAAGAAACCAAAAATGTTAAAGTTTATAAGGGTTTCACTGTGGAAGTGTGCCTAATCATTCGTAACTTGTCTCTAATAAATTGAGATTTGTCGTTGAAATTGAATCGTTGTTTTATTGAGAAACATCAGGTATTCATTTATATTGTAATCTTATGACTTAAATGGATGCTTTCATTAATCAAAATTAATCTTCTGCCTTTTAGTTTCAGAGTCACCAAATCTTTCATGTATTGGTAATTGCAGCAGCGTTTGTGCATTATCATGGAATCTCTGAGATGGCAATGTATAGAATGACAGTGGGGGAATGTGCTAGTGAAAATGAAAGCTCATCAGTTTGATCAGATCATTTTCCAATCTCACTTCCTTGTAGAGATTTAAAAGGCTCAGGTAGCCGAATTGGTATGTGGTATTTTCTGAAGGAATGACAATATGTTACTGTCTTGCTATGACAGTCTCATCTATGTAACTTTGAAAATAACCTATATCTATTTGAGGGGTACCTTATATTATAATAATTCAAGATCATGCCAACAGATGAGCGGTAATATTGATCAGTGTGGATTAGTACTATGGTTTCCCTTCAGTCACACTGAAGAATACGTACATCTTCCAGAAATAATTCAAGCTGTATCATGTACTCATCTGATGGATAGTATGTCAATGCAATTGAAATATTGAGATAAGCCAAAATATATTTTTTCTCAATGATTACTTAATTTTACTGAGTGTAGTCAATTTCACTTTTCGGTCTTATAAGAATATTTGTGGCTATTACAAATTTAACAAGTCAAAGTATTTGTATATTATTATTATATATATCATTGTATGTGTATATATTATATATATATATTATATATATATATAATATCATACTTATTATATATATATTATAATATTATTATTATTATATATATTTTATTATTAGTTATTTGTTGACTGATATAAGCTATGGCATTTATGTAATTATATGCTTCTTTTAATGTCGTATTATGATGTTCTGAAAGATGTCATACTTTCATCAGAGTTGAATGTGCAGAGGTACAAGTATGTTGTTTTGTTTCAAAATTATTCACTTTAAAGAGAGATATATTTATATAGTGTAAATGAAATTATTAAATAAAGCAGTCTTGTTCTGTTTATGAATGTGCAAGCAGTACTCTCTATCAAACACGTCAAGTGCACAATTTACATAATCCTCAATTCATTCGTTTTTTCTATTTACTTATCTAAATATTCTTAGTTGGCAACTGCTGTTTTTAAGAAGTAAAGCCAAAAATTTTAACCTCATTAGGTATTATTGCCCATTTAAATTCAGTACTGTTGAAGTAATTATAGTTTGACTTTCTCTGCCTTAAATTTCCTATATTGTAGTCTGGTAACTTATTATAGATTTGTCATCAGTACTTTTCTTGTTTGTTGTGCTGCTTGCAGTTACTGTGTTTTCATTTTATTTTATTAAGTTTACACAAGTGTTTGTATAATTGGATATCCTAGTTATGCATGCAATTAATGCTCGAAATGGAGCCATAATTAAAGGGGGAGGTTTAGGATCTCGATTCTTTGCTATTCCAATGTAACATTGAATCATGCACACTTAAGGCTTCCAAAGCTTGTACATTGGGTGATTCTTCTTTACAAGACATTTGTGGAGAACAGTGAGTTATTACAAAACATGGGTGGTCCTGTGTTACATAACACTTGCAAATGCAGGTAGATTGTAGGTTAGCAGGCAGATTGAGAATTGCTTCATTATTTATATCGTTATTTCAATTTCCACAAATAAGGCTTAGCTTCAAAAATCACATGTTTGACATGTCTATAAAACTGTGTTCATTCTAGTTAAGTTTGTGTTGAAAAAAAGATTTGTAATCGTCTTATGAAATTCATGGACTGCTTTTGTTGAATGTGAAAGTTTAGATCAGGTGAACACTATGAAAACAAAAAAAATTAGGAAAAAATCAATATAGTGAAATTTTATTTCAATTCTGGCTAGTAATTTGGAGGAACTGAAATGGTATTGTTTTTAAGATTGAACCCTGTTGAGAGGACAATTATTTTCTTATGTTGCACAGGCTTAACAATTTTATTATATGGCCCATTATTGCAAATCTGAAAGAAATTCTTTCAGGAAACCTTCAGTAAATTGAAATTTTGGAATATACCTTCATTGTATAAGGCCCAGGAATCAAGCAATTAGCCTTTCTTTAATAACTATTTGTTTTATAATGACCATTAAATATTTTCCAATAGTGTGGTCGTAAAACTTTATTATATACATCTGCAACTTTTGTGTAGCAACTCTTCCTCCTTTTCATGGAATGGGGACATGTAATTTTCATTGCCTACCAATTCATTTTCAGCCTAAATTGATCCTTGTAACCTCCTGTCTAGAGACATTATACGGGACCTCTGCACCACCAGTTATGATTATTCATGGTATTTGTGCTTGTCTTGCCTGTGTTTTATTAAATATATGTACACAGGTTCAGGAATTCAACTGCTTCTCCAACTAGGAACTGATCCTTTTTTCATTCCCAAATTGATCCATTAATTTGTTTAATGAAATGAGTTGTGCTATGAGTCTTTATTTTCAGTTAACATACTAAACCCTCCTCTTTGTAAAATAATAGCATGGATCTTATTCATATAAAGAATTCCTTTTAAAAAGCTTCATTTGTGTAATAATACCACAAAAGGTGCACGACTATGATTACTACTTTCAAACTTAATACTTTTCTGGTTGTATACAATGAGATGTGTTACAATTGTGGAAAATTGATGTGTGATACTATCTATTAAGGATAAGAGCTAAGATGAGTGTGTATATGAAGTACTTCCATTACAAGAGTGTTGCACAGTTGTGACTAGTGTTTTGTAAAGAATTTTTCATGTCAGTCAAGTATGGGAAACATAGAAATAAGTTCTTTTGTGGGGAATTCTTCAGAATAGCATTTGCCAAATTGAACATATCAAATATCATAATGCATAACAGGTATATAAACATATATGTATTTATTATGGTTTACTGTCGGTACAGCATGGTGATAGTAGGTATTAGAATGAATATAATTATTATTTTCTAATGAGCATGTATGCTCTTCTGGCTCCATGGCTTCCAAGAAAGATATCCCTACTTTAAATGCTTTTTTTAAATTTTGTTCGGGCTCAACAAAACAAATGCCTACGTAATGTGCTGATGGAATATTCTGGTAAGTATCAGCTCCTGATGTACTGTTGTGAATTCCTGTAGAGCTGTGTTTTAGAAAACCTTTGTACACAGTATAGATGTTGAATTTCTTGTAGTGGCCTGCATGCAGTTGTTTGTTGTTTACTTCAAAATTTTCTGATGTAGGAAGACCGATGTACTTACTCAGTTACGTTAATAGAATTTTCCCTTATATACATGAGATTAGGAAACATAGATTAATAATCTTTGAAATGGACTTCAAGCAACTGTTTTACTACACTTCATGTAACTAACATCTTTGGCTGTCGACCATTAAGAAATTTCAGTAATGGGCAGTAAATCTATTATTCTGTGGTCCACTGAAATCAAAACTTTTTGCTTAGGTTTTAATATCAAAATAAAATAAATGTTTTAAATGTAGCCAACCTAATGAAGCATTGCTCTAATTTTGTAGGTGTAAAGTTGATTGTGCGACTTTATTCAAGCATCACATCATCATTGTGGATAAATTTTATTAGATTAGAACTTTTGTTGATTTTTAGGGGGCTATTAAAGGAAAACATTCAGAATGATCAGAGTATGAAGGTGATATTGATGGTGTGTAGTTTCATTAGTGATCCTTTTAGTTTGAGTGTTTAATATGTTGCAATGAGATACAAGAGGATAGCTGAAAAGAAAATTAACTTTGGAACTAATATTTGATTAAAATTAATTTCTTCTCATTTGAGTTATCTGTTGGTGTTGCTTTTAAGCCAAAATACTTCAAAGGATTTCTTGAGATCTAGTTTGATATAATTTCAGACAATGCACCATGGTTACTTATAAATAGGAACTTGACACTGCACAACAATAAAATGATTAAATAGTAGGAATTGCACAACAACTGCACTGCTTTATCAAACAAAAAAGTTTTGCCTTATTGTAGTTTATGATCTTAAGTTGATACCTGCTTCAACTGGGCCATTAACAGACTTCGAGAGTTGTGTAAAATCCTGATTTGAATAGTTCTTATACCTGTGATGCAACTGCTCAATTCCCAAGATCTTCCAGTGTTTGTGATTTAATTTTTGCTGGGTGACTGATATTGCTCCTAAGTACATTGCTTAATTCTTTTGAATAAATTTTTCAAAATTTAATTTAAATTGAAAAACAAAATTACCTGATTAGTTGATCAGAAATGGAAAAACCTTAACGAATACTATTACCATGTATACATTAAAGAAGAGATGCAAATAGCCTAAAATGTATACTCCAAGAGGTCCCTGATAATATTAACTTCTAAAATTACAATACCAGATAAACTTACATTATCGTGATTACTTTATGGATTTAATCACATCTAGAAATTCCAAGATATTGGTCCTCACGTGGAAATGATTTGGAAAAATCTGCATGTGACTTTTCTCAAGATCCATAAGAATTGTATTGTGATTAACCTATTGGAGTAAATTGAGAGATCTATAATGGGCAGGACTCGATTATCTTCGTAGTATTATGTAAGTTCCAACTAATTTCAGTTCACAACATATATTTTGTTTTTCCTTATAATTGTTAAATGTCATCTAGCAATGCTTTCTTACAAAATGCTCACTTTATCTCGTGTTTCTATATTGCATTCTTCCAGGCTAATATTAGCCTCTGCATAAGCTGATTAATTGTATAAATACGCGAGGATTTTATTGGCTCCTCACCCCCCGATTTGGGACATTACATACTATTGTTGAACTTTGTGTTTGATGTTGTGTCAGACTTGCAATGTAATTCTTCGTTTTATATCAAGTGTTCACACAACTTTATTGTGCTTCCCAAAATATGAAATTTTATTGAAGTTTCACAAAAATCCATAATGTTAAAATATTCATAGCATGCAGGAATATGTTGCCATTTATTAAATATTTTTGTTTGGTACTCGGCTATAAAGTTTCTGAGCATGAAAAATATCAGCTAATAACACAAATTAAATTGGCCAAGTATTACCTGCATAATTGTTTAAAAACATGTGTAGTACTGATAAATAAGGTGTTACCTATAATTATATCAATAATTGATTCAATGATGGCCATCTTTCTTGTCAACTACTAGATCAAAGCTATCAAGAGCCACCAAAGGTCATCTGTGTACTGTTGATATTTTCAACATAAGTTTAGCAGTGGAAACATCTTTCAGTTATGAATGGCTCCACTGGTCTTTTTGGAGCTTTTTTGAACAGGAGTATATTCAGATGTCCTCACATTTTGTCATGTGCTGTGTGATTGTTAATACAACTGAAGGCTGATATTAATTCTCCTAGGGGAAGATGGCTGGAGACTCAAGTTCTGTATTTGAATATGTGTATCCTTGGAGTGCATCTCTTTCAGAATGATTGGGACCTGATTGTGGTACCACATTTTGCTCCATTTGGTAGAAATGTTTAAAAATAATTTGTATATTTCTTATTTACCATGTAGATACCACGGATAATTCTGCTTTTCCTAATGTGTTAAAGTATGTGCTAATGTATTAGAGAAGATGCAGGAATAGCTCAAAATATCTGGTAATTATTTATTGTATCTGGATTAACAGCTGCATAAATACTAATTATCAAAGTTTTTCTACCTAAATATTTTGAAGGATTAGTTCTCTTTAGGTTAATTTGAAACAATTTCATTTCAAAACTTAGTAATAAATATGCAAATTACTGGAGTAATGAAATGTTCTGATTCAAAATTGTATTCATTGTTCCCAACATCACGTGCACTTGTACCAATATCCTTAATGTTGGATGGATTTCCCTTCCATTAATTTCAATATTAGAATAATGGAAAAATATGACTTCCTGTAATACATACAACTTATGACATGATTGTCCTCTTGATGACTTCAAATGAGTATTTTGTTTTTTCTAACTAGGAAAAAAAAATTGTTTATTCTTGTGTTGCAGACCTTAGAAAAATGTGGATTTTAAGCATTGTATAAAGCTGGTGCAGTTTATAACAATGTAAGATTTGAACAATTCAATATGCAATATTGATATATTTAAATAGCTTTGAGTATTAACTGTGTGAATTAGCTGTTTGTTTTGATGGTAAGCAAAAGTATTTCTGAACTTAATGACAATTCAAGGTTTCTATAATCTGTGATCATACTTTATCAAATTAAAATATTTTGTTACAGTGCAAACAATATGTTTTTAAGTAAAAGCACAGTAACCATAGTGGTTTAAGTTAACCTTAGAGATGAGTAATTAACAACAGAGATTTTTGTTTTTACATTTATGTAGTCACTATTTATGTACAGATAATCTCATTTTACACTTCATCTGCAATCTCAGTTATGTAGTTACTAGCATGTTTTGGGTTGACTGAGCAGCAAGAGTAGATCTAATGTGCTGGACAGTATCATTCAGCTGCCATAAAAAGCGAAATGTTGCTAACATAAGTAAGTAAAAGAAACAAATTCTTAGCAAAAAATCTATTATTGAACATAATTAAAGTTTTATACTTTATTTCTTCTATTTATAACTTGAAAATTGTATTTTTCAACAGGATGATATAGTAGGCTACCTTTTCAGATAATATATGATTATTTAATTAGTTATCTAATATTTCAATCATCATTGTTTCATCCACTGAACAATTTTTGGCTTTTATTTTTATTTGGTAGCCTCTATATGATATACGATTTAGTACCCTGAAATGTGTTGAAGAATACCAGAATTCAGGGCTCAAAATAGTCATGGTGCAAATTAATGAAGATAGATGCTAACAGATATATTGTTTTCTCTGAAAGTATTTCTTGTTTCATCTTTAGATCCACTAGAGACAAATAGTTTCCCTCCCCTCCCCTCTGACAACCACTTTTTAGACAAGGAAATTAGACAAATGTATTACTTATATTCGGGGGGGAGTCAAATTTAAATAAAACATTCAAATCCAAAGAAAACACTATTTGTAATTTTCAAAGATCACCTTCAAAATCTGATCACAGCACCTGAAATGTTTCAGATATTTTATATTTGTTTAGTTATGGAAATTATGTGAAAACATCATTGTCATACTCTGTAATGCATTATGAGAGATACAGTATGTCATTACACTTAATGCTAGTAAGAGTTGTGGTTCCATTAAATGTAAGTAAGAAGTGGAGTCAACTGGACTTTATGCTATTACCTACAGTATTCAATAGATTTTACTGTGAATGACTTAGTGGCACTGACTTTTTATGATACAGTCTTATGCCTTAATTATTCTATTCACATGGATATGGAGCAGGGTTTTTTAAAATATACATTTTTCTTTATCACAAAAATGAAGTATTTACAGTGAATCACACTATGGACCAATATAGTTTCTAATTCTGAAGTAGTAGGACAATACAGAAAAACTAATAAACACATGAAGGTATGTTATGTAATTTTTGATGTTTGATGGTGATTGAACTTTGTTACAAAATTAATTAGGGGCATTGTCAAAGATACACAAGGTTGCATCTTAGTTTTCTTTTCATTGTGTTTAATATTACCAGGAAAGTAAAATTTCTTGAAACATTCTACCAGTCTCGCTAAGCTATGTGAGAAAATGAGTGAGATGGTATACATGTATGAAGCAATTTTGAATTGTACATGCTGCTTATGTGTAGATTTAATTTGTTTATACAGTGGTAATTTCTGTGATTATACATTGGAGTGAGTTGCTTTGAACTATAATATGGTCGTAATTTCTGTATGGTGCAGAGACATTATATTTATTAGTTTGTTGTATGTTATGTGTAATAAAAATTTGTTGTTGCTCATTCATTGATTTTAGCAATTATTCCTAATTGCTTTCCTTACCAATGTGTTTAATCATATTTGAACAATAAAGACTAGCTGAACTCGTACAAAAATAGTGTACATGTGGGCTCTCTTGCATGTTTTTGTGGCCAGCTTTGGATTCCTCCTTTGGTGGATAAATTCATTGGCCCACAAGTAATTTTATGGATCGTCCCATCTTGCAAAATATTTGCTTGAAATGGGATATGAAATCAAGAATGTATGTTTTTGCGTTCAACTCGTACAGCACGCATACAAACATACAGCCACCAGTTGGTTCAACAGTTCATTTGCTCTGAAGTGTTGACAATAATTCGTGTCCTTAATTTTTGAAAATCCAAAAGTTTTAAAGAAGACTGACTTGTGAATGTCATTGTATTATAGAGCTAATTTTAAGAAATTCTTGTTCAAGTATTTATGAAAAAATGTCACTTATTAAAATTACAAGAAAAATATCGAGATTTTAAACAACTGAAGACAATATTATTTATATACCAAATTTTGATAAAAAGATTTCATGAAGAAAATATCAGTCTTCGATAAAGAAATGGTGGAAAGGCAAGGGGAAAATTATCACCTTTTTTTATATTTTCAAAATTTCATAGGTTTTACTGAAAGTTAGACCTATGTGGTTTTTAAGCTTTTTTTTCTTTACTCCATTCAAAATTTAAAGTAAAATGTGGTGCCATTTTGAAAATGTTAATAGAAATTCTTAACAGTTTGAAAATATGCCTGACCAACGAATACGGCACTACTCGATAATCAAAATGGCGTGTATATCTCCACATAGGCCGAGAAGTCGTGTGACTACACATTTGCAGAGGGGGCACTGAGGCCACATGATTTTGTAATTTTCCTCAACTTTTTATAAAATTTGAAACTAAGAAGTAAAAAGCATTTCAAAGATTTTGGGGGTGTCTGAACTAAAATTCGCAACACATACTTTCTGGATCCACCACCGTGTCTAACTATTCGGTCGACTCAGCGACTAGCAGTCCCGCGCTATTATTGTTAAGATACCGCGCGTCGCTTCACCACTCGCGACCCCGTCCTCCAGAGACACTACTACCCACCCCTTGCCTCCTCCCTCATCACCACAGAGGCGGATCCGGGCGGGCACCCCTCCCCCTCAAAAAGGCCTAGAGTTATCGTTTGGTACCTTTCTTTATTTGCCAAAATTGATTCAAATATTTATTTGTTAGAATTATGTAATTGTTTAAAAAATATTGTCTAGTATACTATATTACACTAAAAAAATAATATACAGTATAATAAGAAATGTATATTCTTTAACAAAAATCTATGATGGCTCTCTCCAAATGATAGGCTGGATCCGCCCCTGCATCATCACCAGACCAGCGCTCCGGCCCAAACCCGTTGTCTTCTGTGTGGGAGAGACACGCAGCCCTCCCACACAGTCGACGGCCCCTACGTTAGGACATTTCTCAAGTGTACAACTGTTGAAATTGCAACGTCGAATTAAAACCACATTTTTATTTTTTACTTTCTCCCCTCACTATATACGCAGTAAAGAGAAATAATAGTAAAGCTGCGGCGGAAATCGACGATTTTTCGATAGAGAAATTTATATTGCCAGGCTCTGGTAGAAAAAAGTGGATACATCTTGTTCCTCTTTGTACCTAATAAATTATTTCCTCTAACGCGTTGTGTGATTAGAATGCACGTTGTGTTGTTCGTTGATACCGAAAAATTCACTGATAGCAAAACGTTTGCCCATCCGTCAATTTTTGTCCCTCTGTGGTTAATGTTAGGGTCTAAACCATTCAGACGATTTTCTCTAAACTTGATGATCCCCGATTGCTCTGAACGAACTCGAGGACCTGTGAGGTTGAAACGGATATTTTTTTTTTTATTTTTTTACGGGTAACCTCAATATTTTCTAAATTTTCTCAAAATATTTTGCTTAAATTTTATTTTCTCGATAGCCCAAAGGACACGTAAAATATTGTCGCAGATATCGTTAAAATCTCCGAAATTTCGAAAATTACAAAAGTTCAAAATTTTTGGGCGTCTTTCTACAACTACAACATTGAAGGTACCTTTTTTTTCCTCTATAGAATCCGTTGTCCCGATCTCAGGCCGTTGACGGCCCGAATCCTTAGGTCCAAGACCGCCACGGCACTACTGCCATAGCGATCTCGGCCACTAGGATCGTCATTATTTTTATTATTATTGTTATTATTATTATTATTATTATTATTATTATTCCTCTACATCACAACTAAGATGTTATGAGTCGGCTGAATAGAAAATCTACTCCAGGTTGCAACCAACTACCTAAGGAACAGATTTAGAGACTTTTACACTTTGCGCAAAGTGTGGGCTGTTCCAAATAAAGCAATTTTGTTGCACTTCCCAGACTTTTGAATGACCTGGGAGTTAAGCCAAAATCTTTCACAAATTTTGCGGAACAAATCCTAGAGCTCCAACGACTATCGGTACGACCCGTGCTTTTCGGCAGATCTCGATTTCCAAACTCTTCTATTTAAGACGTTTCTCTGCCTCTTTGGTTACGACGTTTTGAGGCACAAGGCACAGCAACATATACAAGTAAGCAGGATTTTTCTCTCCAAATCCCGTATAACAATATCCGATTTGTTTGCTGCTATCGTGCGATCCGTTTGAATTTGTTGGTGGTACAACATTGTATAGAGTCTAACAGATGTCACCGGTTTTGGCGAGTGTTCGTACCACTCGGCGCATGTGTTTGGAACTTCGAGGGCGGTACAGATCTGCCAGTGGAGGTAACTACGCATCCTGTGGTGGCCTTGCCCGTATTCGGTCTTTCGGTCAATGTCATGATTCTGAGCAGCTATTAGAACTGCTTCCGATTCTGGCTTTATTCTTCCCCTTTTAAGCCACATTAATGATTAATCTTTATTGATCTGTCCCTTGTCCATTCTTTTTAGATATTGCCCATGGTTTGTCTATGTCCAGTGGTTTGTCTCTCCACGATTTCTTTAACATTTTTTGTGTTCCACATTTCATATTTAGTAGCATCAGAAGTTCAGCGTCTGTGTTATTCTGCGTGTTTTGCATAGTTTTCTTAAAATGCCCCTTGCTACACTAACAATACCTCTGTTTCTCATTCTGTGATCAAATTTCATGATCATTAGAGGGTCATCTTGATGACCGACTACCAGTGGCATGCATTCAACCTCAGCACTGCTGGGATAAGCAAAAATGAGAATTTGAAGAATGTTACAAACTTCTACGGTACGTAGAGAAGTCGAGAATAATAACTTTTTGGCAATAAACATCAACAATGCGATAGAAAATTTCATATAAGGAAAATTCACTTGTGACATTTGCCCCCGATTGAAGTATAGAGTGTGCCGAGGATACCTAATTTCAGGCATAACCTTTCACCACCACGAACAACGCGGTGGCCGACGGCCTTCACTTAATGAAACGCCGAGAGCAGCGGCGTTTGCGTAGTTAAAAGGGCTAACAGGCAAGCAACACTGTATGAAATAACCGCAGAGATCAATGTGGGACGTACGACGAACGTTTCAGGTTGGACAGTGCGGCCAAATTTGACTTTTATGGGCCATGGCAACAGAACACTCAAGTGCCTTTGCTAAGCGCACGACTTTGCATGCATGCCTCTCCTGGGCTCGTGACCATATCGATTGTGCTTGTTAAGATACGTCCCAATTTCAGTTGGTAAGAGCTGATAGTAGGGTTTCTGTGTTGCGCAGACCCCACAAAGCTACGGACCCAAGTTGTCAACAAAGAGTGTGTATGCTGTAGGTGACTCTATAATGTTATGGGCTGGTATTACATGGAATGGACTCGGTCCTTTGATCCAACTGAATCGATCATTGACTGAAAATGGTTATTTCAGTTACTTGAAGACCATTTGCAACCATTTTTGGATTTCATGTTCCCAAACAACGATGGATTTTTCATGGATGACAATGAGTCATGTCACCGGGCTACAGTTGTTCGCGATTGGTTTGAAGAACATTCTGCACGATTCGAGAAATGGTTTAGCCACCCTTTTCGCCCGACATGAATCTCATCGAACATAATCGAGAGGTAGGTTCGTGCACAAAATCCTGCGCTGGCAACACTTTCGCAATTATGGTCGGCTATGAGACAGTGTGACTTATATTTCTGCAGGGCACTTCCAATGAGTTGTTGAGTCCATGCCCCGTCGAGTTGCTGCACTTCGCCGAGCAAAGGAAGGCCCGACAAGATATTAAAAGGTATCCCATAACTTTTGTCACATCAGTGTATATTTTAATGCTTGTTGTTCGAGACGGGTCTTCCGTGAGTCAGTTGTGAGAGTAATAGTGCTGCTAAAATGGACAAGAGAGGAAGTGGAACATGCCTTGAAGTATCGGGTAGGTACAAGTCGTCTCAGAGATGCATACATGCTTTGAGTAACTTCATGGCTACTGACTTACACTAAGCATATCTATATTCTTCGATATCCGAGTGGAAGAGAGTCGTATGATTTTTCTAAATCGATTTAGACGAAATGCACATTTTTCAACTGTCTTCACACGTTCTGAAGGTTCATCTTGACAATGATCATTTTTGTTTCTTTTAATCGTCTGCGATTATTTTTTTACTTTCTTCAATAGTAGTAACCCCCTATATGCGGAGTGTAATGGAAGGTAAGTAAATCTACAAACTCTTATTGAGATTTTCACAGATATACACGTTTTGAGGGTCCCTAATACTGAAAATGCGTGTTTTCAAAAATCTGAATGTCCGTCCATCCGTTAATGCGCACCTAAGCCATATCTTCCAAAAAATGGATAACCACCGATTGAAAAGGCCGAACTCCAAGTGCTGAGATTTTGAAACGAATCTATTTTGGGTGGTGGTTTAACTTTTAAATCCTCCTTTTTGCTCAAATGGAGAAATATAAATTTTAAATGTGGAATACATTCGATTTCCATAAAAAACCTCTCAATTTCTGAAAGTGACAAAAGTTCACAATTTCTAC